AGAAATACTCTAGAAATATATTTTTGTCCTTTGGTAGGAAGCAGACAATGAAAGATGTAGTCATAGAGATTGGAATATGGAGTCAACATGTCAGATAAATGTTGATAGATACATGTCAGAAATGCATGAAATAAATATACCTGCCATCTTCTTTTAAGTCTTTGGCCATAAAGATTACTTTTCTCTTCCGTTCTATTCTAATGTCATCCAGTAGGAAATAGAGGGATGCTTTATCATTGACTTTGACAGAAAACCAACATTGCTGGGATATCATAAGAAAATAGTGTCTACATGACCATGTCTTATTCTTTTGGATTTCTCAACATTAATAAAGTGATATAAGATGTCCCAATATATTTATGGAAATAGTTTAAGAACAATTGGTCAGAAATATTTTCACAAATAGCCAATCAACTTTGACATAGTTTTCAATGAATTCTAACATGCTAATTAGAACCATCTGTTATAGTGGATTCTGTGGCTTTCTTTGTTGTTTCTCAAAATTATAAATGCTTCTAAGACTTCAGGAAATAATAAAAGTACTTTTCTACTTGCTCACCCCATTTTATTTCATATTTTTCAAGGAAGTAGAATAGAATACACTACATCCAAGACGATCACTAAAGCAAGTTTTCTTAGACTAGTTTGAACTTAATAGGTGCTTCCTTATTTCTCAGACATAACTGACAGTATGTTAAAGATCCCTAGTTAGTCAACCTATAAAACAGGAGTTTCCTTAGCAATAACAGCACAGTGTTTTGTTTTGTTTATTTTTCTTTTTATGATGATGTTTGGTTCTAGATTTTCACCTATCCAGCCACAAAATAATACCATTGTGGTGTTCTGTCTCTTTTGGCTAGGATTCTTGTGTTCCCATTGAAAAGGAAGAAATGTTGATGATTTATCTAGGTAGGCACTGAAAGCATGAATTGTCCTAAATTTATCTTGAGTTACTTATCCCTTCCTATTATTAAAAATATCCCAAAGTGTGACATGCAGAGCAAATGATACCTGTAAGAAGAGCTTTTAAAAAGCTACTTGGGCATGTAAAGTTTCCAAACTTCTCCATACAATATCTTCTTTAGAGATTCATAATTCACATTCTGCAAAGACTACTGTTTGTGAAAATCTGATCTAAATCTATCAAAAGCAGACAGAGTATAAACATACTGACTATACTAAGAGTACTGACTTGACCTGGTTAAGCATAAGAAATTGTGAGAAGAAAGACAAAAAAAATTACATACTATACACACAGCTCTGATAAGGCTTGTGTGAATATTACAGAAGTGAATTACACATGTATGTTAGTCCATTCTTGCATTGCTATTAAGAAATACCTGAGACTGGGTAATTTACAGAGTAAAGAGGTTTAATTGGCTCATGAATCTGCAGGCTGTACAGGAATAATGGTGGGACATCTGCTCAACTTCTGTGAAGGCCGTAGGAAACTTACAGTCATCATGGAAGGTGAAGCGGGGAGCTGGCATGTCATTTGGCCAGAGCAGGAGCAAGAGAGAGAGAGGGGAGATGCTACACACTTTTAAATGACCAGCTCTCAAGAGAACTCACTCACTCACTCACATGAGGACAGTTCTAAGGTGGATGGTGCTAAACCATTTATGGGAAATCCACCCCCATGATCCAATCACCTCCCACTAAGCCCCACCTCCAACACTGGGGATTAGATTTCAAAATGAGATTTGGGTGGGGACACACCTCCAAACTGTATCAGCATGAATCCTTGTCTAACATAACTTATCATCTGATAGAGGATATAAAATAAGTTTAGAAAACATGAAGAAGATTGTTAAATGGGCCGGAAGAGAGATACAGATAGGATGCTATGAGTATTCTGTGCTGGGACAAATTATTACCGGCTGGATATGGGGTGGAATTAGAAATCTTCACAGTACAATAGCATTAACTGAACGTTAGCCGATATACTTGAACATGGAAGGAAAGCATGTTAGGGAGAGATGGATATATAAGTAAAGAGGCTAGAAGGTGTGGATCATACGTGGAACAGAGCACTCTATATTTGGGTAGAGTGTAGGGTGGGAATAAATGGGAAAAGGCAAGAAATAAATCTGTTTAGATTCTGAAGGGTCTTGAATTCCAGGCTCAGCAGTTAGCTTAGTAGATAGCTAATTAGTGATAATTAGCTATAATTAATCATGTTTGTGCTGTGTGGCCATTAGGAATACATAGTAGCAATTTATCCCAATGGTCCCTATCAGTAGAACATACTCACTCAAACTTGAGAGAAGCATCAAATGAGAAGAAGAAATGGGAGAAGAAGAAATGGAAGTTAACACTGTCCTCAGGTCTTTAGAAAAGCAGTCGAGAACAGAGCTGCTCATACTTTATTGTGCATACTCAGTACCTGGAATCCTTGGTAAAAGGCAGATTCTGACTGAGTACCTCTGGAGGGCAGTCTGAAACTCTTCAATTCTAGCAAGTTTTCAGATTCTAGTTGTTTTTTGTTGTTGTTTGCTTGTTTGGTTTTGCTCATTTGTAGACGACATACTAAATTGTAATTGTTTTTAGATGAATGATTTCCAAACTTGACTGCACGTCAGAATCACTTATAGAGCTTTAAAAGTCACCAACGTTGGAGCCTATTCAGATATTTAGATTCGGATTTAATCGACTATTGGTATCAGTATTTTAAAAAGTTCCCCTCCCCCCCGCCCACAATTCCAATGCATGGCCAGTGCTGAGAGCACCGCTCTGGGTTGTGTCTTAAGTTGATGTTTCCCAACCCTGAATGCATATTCGAATCACTCAGGGAGGTTTTAAAACTACACCTGCTCAGACAGCATGGCAGATCAATTAAATAAGACTTTCTAGGGGAGGAACCTGGGTTAGGCATGTTTCAAAAACTCCCCAGGTGATTCTAATGTGCAGTAAAGTTCAGAATTCCTTACCTGGAGAGATTTCAGATTTTTAAAAAAATTTCTTCTGTGCTGTCTGAAGAGATAATTTCAGAGGAAGTCTAAGCCTTTAAAGCTGTTTAAGAGCCAGGTGCACATACTATTCCATTGTCAAATTACTGAAATTTAACAACCTGTATGTAGCTGATCAGGCTACAAATCCTGCAGTATCAATGCAAACAAGGGCAGCTGTTTCATCTTTAGTTTAGAAGTGAAGAGATAAAATGGATTTATTTTGTTTTCTGAAATAAATGGTTTTCAAAAATAAATACCTGTGAAGAGAGGATCCTATTATTTTGTTGAAAGTCAGTGTACTTGAGTTCAGCGATCCCTTACAGGTCTGCATTGTGAATACGCGACTACAGATATTCTCACTGAAAACCCAGAAAATTAGTATAAAATCACTGTAGACTTGTGTAAAGAAAGTGGTATTTGAATTAGGAGAACATGATCCGGCAGTGGGGATGGTGGTGAGATGGGAGGGAACTCAGAAGTTTTTGCCCTTGTTCTATTATTGACACACTTTCGTGCATCTGAGTTTCATGGCATATCAAATGGGGGAAAAATGGCAACTATGTATAGGGTTGTGTGAGGACATAATATGTATCATCACTTTGTTGTAAGCTTAAATGTGCAATACAAATGCCAAAAATTAAAGGAACATTATATTTAGTACCCTAGGAGTGATGATAAATAACACTGATGTTGTTCAATCATTTTTTTCCCCTGTAATCATTGCTCTCAAGTGTGCAGGTGCTTGATACTGGTACTTAAAACTGTTTGAAATTTGATGAACAATCCTTAACATGAAATGATCATTTGGGAGGAAATCAGAGATGGGAGAAAACTCTAAAAAATTTCCATCCTGATCCAGCCTTACTTTATTTTTTTAAATTTATTTTTATTTTTATTTTTTTTATGAGATGGAGTCTCACTCTGTCGCCCAGGCTGGAGTGCAGTGGTGCGATCTCGGCTCACTGCAAGCTCTGCCTCTCGGGTTCACTCCATTCTCCTGCCTCAGCCTCCTGAGTAGCTGGGACTACAGGCGCCCGCCACCATGCCTGGCTGATTTTTTTGTATTTTTAGTAGAGACGGGGTTTCACGGTGTTAGCCAGGATGGTCTCCATCTCCTGACCTCGTGATCCACCCGTCTGGGCCTCCCAAAGTGCTGGGATTACAGGCTTGAGCCACCGACCCCGGCCTACTTTATTTTTTATACCACTCAAGATGGTTTTATTTGGGTATAAATTATCATTGTGTCATTATTCATAAAAAGTGAAAGTCATTATGCAGACATGGGTTAACAAGATTAAATTTGTGTTATTTGTGCTGAATAGATGGGTTAGAAATGTGTCTTAAGTTGTTTATGAACTTAGACTAAATAGGAAATCCATCGGGAATCAGAATTATTAATAGCAAACATTATAACTTTAACATTGAGATATCATTCTGGTCTCTCAGAGATACTAAGCAGAATAAAAGCATGTTCTTGATCTTTATAATATGATTGTGCACTGAGTTGTCATTTCAACTAGGTTAATTAGGCATAAAAAAGTCACCCATGGTATTGAATTTAGAGATAAACAAAACAAAACATGGCAAAAACTATACAGATTTGTGATGAGCAGACTTCTTAATGTCTTTTGTTTTTAACTTGCTCCTTTTCTCATAGTATGAATCATAAGATTCATATGATACCCAGAATTGGGGTGATACCAAGTACAGTCCCACATACTCAGATGACTGGATTCACCAATATACTCAGACACAGAGATATGAGGAAAGGCTTGACTGTTAGACTTCTGATCTATAGTTTTTGTAATAGCTGGAATCAAACAATATAATTTACGTAAAAATGCCTGACATTTTGTGTGACATTTATTAGGCAACCATCTTGGTTTTCTTCCTCTTTAGTAATGTCAAGCAATTGTGGAACTTCCCCCACATCACCCCCGCAGGTTCCAGCAATTCTCCTGCCTCAGTCTCCGGAGTAGCTGGGACTACAGGGACACGCCACCATACCTGGCTAATTTTTGCTTTCTTTTTTTTTTTAGTAGAGACGAGGTTTCACCATATTGGCCAGGCTGATCTCATACTTTTGACCTCGTGATCCATCTGCCTCAGACTTCCAAAGTGCTGGGATTACAGGCATGAGCCACTACGCCCGGCCTGCAATTGTGGAACTTTTATTATGTCCCAGGTAACAATTGCCCTTCACAGGAATGTGTTTGTGTGATATTTATAAAAACTGCATGAGGAGGGTACTGTCATTCCCATTTATCTCATGAGGAAATTAGAGTATAGACAGTTTAAGTACTTGCCTATAGCCACTTAACTAAAGATGACAGAGCTCAGACTCAAGTCCAGGCAGTTCATCTTCAGAGTCCACTATGATCTTCAGGGTCCACTGCTGTTCAGTAAAAAAACTATTCTTACTGTCTGATTTAAAACTCTTTTATAATTTGATATTCAGTTACAAATAAGAAATAATAGTTGTGCCTGGAATTGACTGAACAAAGGGAAATATGACATGCCATGAATTAGACGGCCTGTTTACCATGACCCATATGTCACCGTCTCTTTAATGAACTTCTTTGATAAGCATCTACTGTCTCAAAAACACACTTGTAGGCCATGGAGTCACAGCCTCTTAGAATTATCACTCATATGTATTTCTTTGTGTATTCAGACATCCCACTCTTTGTCCCCCGGCCCCCAGATTTCACTAATGGTGAAAATGAGGTCCACAGAAAGAAATGTGCTAAACCATGACTTAAACTGACCTATGGAAGCTTCTATCAGCTAGAAGTATTATAGTTTCTTCCAGGGTCAAGAGTCATTTGCCGCGGGATCAAGTCCATATTCTGTGCTCTAATGAATTGTATCTGAAATCTCATGCTCTTAGCTGTTTGGCCTGCTGAGAACAGCAAATCTTGGGTAGCTCAAAAGGTTCTTAGAGTCCTCCTTTTGATAGCATCTTTTCAATTCCTTACGCATTTGGGTTTTTCTAAATTTCTTGTATCTAAGAAATGATGCATCCTTGGCTTCTTTCTTGACTAGCATTTGGCATCACTTGTTGGCTTCTGACTTTATTATCTATTCTACAAATTTTGTCAAATATTTACTGAGCTACTACTTGGGCGGTTTTAGTGCTAGTTTACTGGGGATGAGTGAACAAGGATGTCATAGCCCATAATCTCATAGAACTTGTGATATAAAAGGTTACATAGACATGTAAATAGGAGGTTACAGCCTATAGAGGTAAGCCTATGTCGGTAGACGTAGATCAAGGTGAGGTGAACTCAGGGAGGTCTTCACAAGGGAGTAGACCTCTGAGCTGAAACATAAAGAAGGAGTAGCAATTATCCAAGCTCCAAAAGTACAGGGACAGACCTGTATAATTGATATCAGGATACTGAACACAGTGCTTGTCATATAATTAGAACTCAATAAATATTTTTAAGACATGAATGCAAAGTAAAGAGGGTAACAAAGGCTCCCTCCAAACTTTAGTCAAGCTTATCTGGGCCATCTCTTTTTGACTATGTCTCATATTTGGGACCTGCTGTTACCTGCTGTACCCAGTTTTAGCTAAGAGTCTTGTTATTAAGAATCCTCCCACTCTAGATATTTGATTACATTGTCCTGCCTTAACAAGAATACCCCCTGCCCTTGGTATTTGATCAAGTTTTTCTTAGTAACTTTTTATCCTTGACTTTTCGTTATGCTTGTTGGCCATAAATCCCAGTGGTGTTTGCTGTATTTGGAGTTGAGTTCAATCTCTTTGCTGTGTTTCAATAGTCTCTTCTCTATTGCAATAGTCTTGAATAAAACCTTTCTTACCATTTTAAGGAATATCATAATAATTTCTTTCTAGCAAATTTGAACATGTTTAAAGGCAAGACATAGGAGCAATCAATTCACTATTTTCTTTCTGCTATTTGTGAATTTTTTCTGCAGAAGAAGAAAAGAATTCCTATCTTACTGATTATTTTGGAGATTAAAATAAACTTTATAAAAATGGAATGTGTAAGATACTAAAACAAATCTGACATATAATAAATACCAAATTCATAGTAGATATTATCTTTTTTTCAATTGTCATTTCCTCATGTGTTTGGTTATTCAAAATAAGTCTTGCCATCCTGGGATTTAGGTAAGGTAAATGGGGCCCACATACTTTCTGAAAATATGTACAAAATTATGTAAATGTCAGTATAAACGTGTATTTTACTTTGGGAGAATTATAATTTTTGTTGTATTCTCCAAATGTCTGCAACTTTAAAAGTATTACAAACCACCATTATATTTATTTTCAGACAGAATATATCTACTTTCATGGTTCCACATTGATAGTTTCCAAATACATTCATCATATCCAAATTTAGTTCTATACCCCATTTCTATATTTGCTGCATTAAGATTCAAACTTCCAGCTTATAATTCTTTAATGTCTTCTATCTCAACATCTATCCCAATTGGGTTCTTTTTCCTAAAGACTTTATTTCTCTTTATAATGCTTCTTTTCCCTCAGTCATGAGGCACATGCCTTGGAATATAGGTAGGTACCTTTGTATGTAAACTGCTCCTTTACTCCATGTAGCAATTCTGCATTTCAATGCTATATTTTGCCAATTTTCTCTAGACTCATTTTGGACCCTCTTCTCTTTGTGCTGCAATTTTTTTTAAGAGCCTCCTAACTGATCTCCTGGCCCCTACCTGTTTTTTGGGGTTAGTTCATCTTTCATGGCATTACTATATTTTATCTTTAAAACTTTAGAAACAATTTTCCTGATAGTTCCTCTCTTTTCTAACTCCTTGTGAGGGCTGGTCCCCAGATGGTCAAAGCATAGCCTCCTTTTATATCCGGAGAATTTCCTTCCACTCTCTTTTCTGCCTTTCCAAATCCTAGCCATCTTTCATGCTCTAGTTCAAGTCCTACTAGTTGCAAAGGAGATTTCCTTGGTGACTATCTTTCAATATTTTCCTCTTCTAACTTCTTACTACATGGATAATTTCATACAGCTGAGCACTTTGTAGTTCTGTGTGTGTGTAAATGTGTATGTGTGTGAGTACACTTGCATGTGCAATGCTGTGTCTTCCCAGGCACGTGAAGGGGACAGGACTTGTCTTACATTTCATACTCCTCCTCCTATCAGACTCTTCTAAAAAGGTAAAATATATTCAATCAATAATTGTAGCTTATAAGCAATCTTAACCATCTCGTAGGAAGGATTTTAAACTTAATTTCTTAACTATTTTTGAAAGGTATAGAACAATGTGGCTATAAATTTTAGTTTTATAGAGTAATAATGTATTATGAAGTTGTTTGACAAGCTGTCTATTCTCCTCCATATGGAAATACATACATAAACAAATGACACAGTTTTTCATTTGTTTGTTTTGTTTTGTTTTTTTGAGACAAGAGTTTCGCTCTTGTCATCCAGGCTGGAGTGCAGTGGCACGATGTCAGCTCACTGCGACCTCTGCCTCCTGGGTTCAAGTGATTCTCCGGCCTCAGTCTCCCAAAGTAGCTGGGATTACAGGTGGCCGTCACCGTCCCTAGCCCAAAGTGCTGGGATTTGAGCCACTGTGCCTGGCTGGGTGTTTGTTATTTTTAAACAATGTCTTCCTCTAAGACATTATTTATGAAGAAGTTCCACATTAAATAAAAAATCACATCACTTCAGTTGATTGTCATAAGTTATTACCTGACTCTGCAGTTTTAGGTATTGTTAAGCCAGTCCAAGTTTATCCATTTCTATGTGGGCATTGCAAGGATCTTTGCCATGTACCTAACTCTGATACACACTCGATATCAACTTTTGTTCTTCAATTCCAAATGGAATTATTTAATAAACCACATAAATAGTAGGATGTTATAATTTGATAGAGACTTAGAGATCACCTAGTCTAACTTTCTAATTTTATAGATAAGGAAACTAAAGTGAGGAGTTAGATTGTCCAAGCTCACATGACAGTTTAAAGATAGTCTTAATGGAATTAAATATCCAGTTTTCTTGACATTCCCCAACTGGTAATTCTGTTTTAATCCTTGTTGTTGTGAAAGCATGAAATTTGCAAATACAGGGGTCTGATCCTATATCAATAATGGTTAGTTATACAGCTGTGGATAAAATTTTAAGTGTTATTATGGTGTCCCACCCAATGAATTGTGAGAGGTGGAGGGACAAGTTCCCATGACGCCCAAGGCTAATGGAGCTTTCTCTCTGTTGTGACTATATTCTGGAGATGGCGGACCATAGAGTTGACACCACTGAATAATGAGTATCATATAAATTCATGCTGAGTTTCTCCTTAAAGCTGTGCTTTTAGAAGGAGGTTATTCAACTAGGATAATTATGTAATATTGCATCACTGCAGGCTGTATTTTATGTTTAAGAATCCCACATAAAGGATAGCTGATTTGCAGGAAGTTCTATCGGAATCACATAAGACAAAACTGTTCCAAGCTCCTATCAGTGAGTTCTTTTAGTTGCTTTCTTTCAGTAAGCAAATGATACTGATATATTTGTGAGTAAACACAGCCAGTTAACTTTCACGTCGACAAGCTGGTAAGGTTAGGTTGTGTAGCAATGTCCTGTCTGCTGTGGTGTGTTGCTAAGAGGCTGATTAGTTTTGCCAGCTATTATAGGTCTTATATTTCCACTTTTTTCAAGAACAAATTATTTGAATAATAAAAGAGTGCCTTTTCTAAATGTTGAGGCTTATTTAGAACATTATGATATTTGATGAAACACTTTAATCAGTAGTATAACTGGATCCTTATTGCAGTAATGATTTAAAAAGTGAAATAACTTGGATTCCACGGTCGTTCAATGTGTAATTGTTACTCCATTACAGGCATTCTGACTTTTGATTCAGTGCTCCTAATAACAGATACACTACACACACACATACACACACATATATACACATGATTTAGTTCTATTATGAGGTTTAATGCTGTCTGTATTTGCACATAAATAATGATATAATTTATTTCTGTGTTCATATGTATAAAACCACTATGAACATCTTTCCACATATAAAAAAACTCCTTCAAAGTAAGTGTTATGAATTGACTTAATCTGATGCACCCAATAATTGGACACAATTCTATCTGCCAGTCAGTCCAAATGCTGGAATTTTTTCAAGAATTTTCCTGAGTTGTCTTTATGTTAACCTGCACAGCTCATG